AAGAAGAAGAAGAAGAAGAAGAAGAAGAAGAAGAAGAAGAAGAAGAAGAAGAAGAAGAAGAAGAAGAAGAAGAAGAAGAAGAAGAAGAAGAAGAAGAAGAAGAAGAAGAAGAAGAAGAAGAAGAAGAAGAAGAAGAAGAAGAAGAAGAAGAAGAAGAAGAAGTAGTAGTAGTAGTAGTAGTAGTAGTAGAGGTGGTGGTGGAGGAGGAGGAGGAGGAGAAGGCAACTACAGCCAATTCTTGTGGCTTCTTAAAGAAAAGCGCGCCGGTGGTCCTCGTCTTAACCACGTTTCGTTTAGTGTTCGTTCGAAGTAACCACAGCCCTGGTAAAAGGGACTTGCAACTGGTCCTCGCACTTACGACCCCACAGTCACGTGATCCAAATTAGGATGCTTGGCGACTTGCATGTATTGATTTACAGCCCCCATCTCCCTTTGCAAACTCCTCAGCCGGCTTTCCATCCCACAAAGTCCAGATTCGCTTAACGGCCGTGCGGTTGCGTGAACGGCGACGACTTGACTTCACAAGCGCAGCGAAGAGGCGAAGCCAAGGCCCCAGAGAGGCAATCTATCCGTGTTTCCCCGTGCAACAGAGAGGGGGGAAGGCTGACTTTCTTCCCTCCCTATCTGGAAAGCGAGAAGGGGAAGGCAACTGGGGTGGGGGGACGGGGGGGGGAAACTACTCTGGCCTGGCATCGGATCCAGAGCAATAATCCACAGGGCTGTTGTAACACTCGCCTTGTTTTGACAGCGAGCGTGGCCCGTTGCCAGGATGATAATCCAAATTGGCCGTCTTTGGCAACGCCCTTAATTAGGAGGGTTTCGATTGCCGTCCAAGATACGCAAAGGAGTGCAGGGCTCCTTCCAAACAAACAGCTCTGCCCAACAGCCAAAGGGCTTTTAATTGCCCCAGATTGAATATGCTCTCTTCCCCGAAGCTCCTGGAAGTCCCAAGCTGAGCCCCGTTAAATTGGCAGAGTGGATTTTAAGGAGAGCTTCCCGACTCGCTCCGTAGAAGTGGTCGTCTTTTCAGATCCCTCCCAGCCTCCCCAGAATCCACCCTTGAGTAGAGTTTGAGCTTGGCGAGTTTGGGGGTGCGCGCAATAAATGGAATAAATAAAAGGTGGACCAACCCTCCATCACTGGAGGTTTTTAAGAATGGTATTTGTCCAGAATGGTATAGGGTCTCTTGCTGGAGCAGGGGGCTGGACTAGAAGGCCTCCAAGATCCCTTCCAATTCTGCTATTCTATTCTATTCTATTCTATTCTATTCTATATTTTATTCCATCCTGTAATTCTACTCTACTCTACTCTACTCTACTCTACTCTACTCTACTCTACTCTACTCTACTCTACTCTACTCTACTCTACTCTACTCTACTCTACTCTACTCCATTCCATTCCATTCCATTCCATTCCATTCCATTCTCTCCATTTCATTTTCCATTTCTGTTTCTATTTCTATTTCTGTTGTATTCTGTCCTGTCCTATACTGTTCTGTATTTTCTCTTCTGTTCCACTCTACTCTACCGTATTCTGTGTTCTGTTTGTTAAACAAATAAATAAACAAGCCCTCCATCCAGGGCTGGCTGGGGGTCCTCAGGATTCCGCCTGCCCTCCACCCGCCCCCTGGCAGCAGCGCGGGCCGAGCAGGCAGGCCAGCCAGTCCGCCTGCCACTCAACCTCTCTCCTCTTCTGTGCCTTTGCAGAAATGCCGCCCACGGATTCTCCCTGATCCAGGTGGAGAGCCTGAAGGTCACCATGAAGGATATTTTGCAAAAGGCGCTGAAGCGAAGGAAAGGGTCGCAGCGTGGTGCAGGTGGGGACCGGACCTCTTACTATGCTTTTTGGGGGGGGGGAGGAGGGGGGCAGTGGATTTTATGTCTGGGCCTCTGATCTCGTCCATCCCATATTAAAAAAAAAGGGGGCTGATGGGTCACAGCAGAGGGCTGAACGTCAAATACAGGCAGTCCCGTATATATATTTCTCAGCACTATCCTGTGACGCACCGTCTTTCTTTTTTTAAAAAAAGAAATACAATTATTTTTATTCAGAAAGTTAAAATACAAATTCCCCCTCCTGAAAAAAATTACAAGGAAGGGAAGGGAAGGGAAGGGAAGGGAAGGAAGGAAGGAAGAGAAGGGAAGGAAGGAAGGAAGGAAGGAAGAGAAGGGAAGGAAGGAAGGAAGGAAGGAAGGAAGGAAGAAAGAAAGAAAGAAAGAAAGAAAGAAAGAAAGAAAGAAAGAAAGAAAGAAAGAAAGAAAGAAAGAAAGAAACCAAACGAATGAAAATAGACAAAACATCTCCGCTCAGCACTGTCCTGGGACCCCAATTGTCTTCCCAAATGGCCCGTGCCCCCCACCCTCTGGGGAACTGTTTGGAAGCGTGTCACACCTTAGTAGCGGGCAGTCCCCAAGGCCCGCGTGGAGGAGGCTTGCATGTTATCCTCCCTGCTTTGAGCCTGGAGACGCCAGCCGGAGTTTTTAACTTTCTGCCTTGCGCAAAGGGCACGTCAAGAGACTCACAGCCAGCCGTTTCAACCGTTGACGACTTTTTTAAGCCTTCGGGGGAACGTTTTTTTTTTTGCCCTTTCTTGGATATTTCTTAAACAATCCCATCAATCAGAGGCAGGAAAACAAGCGAGTCTCTAGAGGCCACAGAAAGACAGACGGTCCTCAACTTGAGCCGAAAATTTCTCTTGCGAAGCAAGACGGTTGTTAAATGAGTTAAGTGGTCCCATTTTACGCCCTTGGTTTGCCACCGTTGTTAAATGACTCTCTAGTCGTTAAGTTAGTGACACGGTTGGTTAAGCGAATCTGAAATGGTCTAGGGTTTCCTGCCTGAGCAGGGGGTTGGACTAGATGACCTCCAAGGTCCCTTCCAACATTGTTATTATTATTATTACTATTATTTACTATTATTATTATTATTATTATTATTATTATTATTACTATTATTTACTACTACTACTATTATTATTATTTCTATTATTTATTATTACTATTATGATTACTATTTATATTATTTATATTATTATTTCTATTATTATTATTATTATTATTATTATTATTATTATTATTATTATTATTATTATTATTATTATCTGGCTTCCGCCTGGACTCGGTTTGTCAGAAAGTCACAAAAGGGGATCACACGACGCCGGGACGCGGCGACCGTCACAAATCTGAGTCAGTTGTCAAGCATCTGAATTTTGATCGCGCGGCCACAGAGTGGTGGCGACGGTTGTAAGCCTGAAACATGGTCCTAACTAAGTCACTTTTTTCAGGGCCCTTGCAACTTCGAAAAGTCACTCAATGAAGTATCTGTATACCCCCAAAGCGTTCAATAATGTGGGGAGCAGTGAGGAATTCTGGGTGCTCTACCCATTTCTGGAGGCCTCCTCCCCATCGCCCATCCCTTGCAGAAAAAAAACCAAGGTGAAAAAAATCTACCTTTAATTCCAAATTACACGCACACACACACACACACACACGAAAAAAAGGAACTTTTCTGGTTTTGAAACGTTCCATCCGACCGTTCCAGTTGGCTTCCTTCCTTTGGAATAAACATGGAAACAGCTTGAATGTTTTATTCTGAAAGTTCCCAAAAATCGCTTGACACCTAGGTATTTTTTGCAGCAAGCATCCCCTTTCCAGGGTCGAAACGGCCAGACTTTCAGCTTGAAAGAGGATGCTTCAAAAGGCCACAATTTGTTCAAGGTCAAAAAGCAACGGGAGGATTTTTTAAAATTTCATTTCATTTTATTTTTTTGCTCCAACTTGGAGACAGTTGTGTCTGGACTTTTGCTTTGGGCTCAGAGCCCTCCAAACGGGATATTTGAGATGGAGCTCTTTCGCCAACGGGTTTTGCAATTTTAGTGTTTCATCTTTGCGCTCAGAACGGCCGGCTATTTGAGATCGAGCCGTTTTGCAAACTTGGGTTGCAATTTTACCGTTTCATTTTTGCGCCCAGAACCGGATATCTTGAGGTTCAACGGTTTCGCAAACGTACGTCGCAGTTTTAATATTTCACCTTCGCCCTCGGATCGGAAAATTTAAGATTGAGCTGTTTGGCAAAACCTGCCTTGCAATTTTACTATTTCATCCAGTTTAAGGTCTTTTCGAGAATCGCTTCTCCTTCTGTGAATTCCTTACCTTTAGGAACGGAAAAGCTGTTTTATCTTAGAAAGATCTCAGCCTTTTACAGTGAGTCGCTGTGACTCACAAACAGTCTGAAAACTTTTTGTGAAAGTCAGGCTTTCCAAAGAACAAGGAATCGATTTCTCTGTGATAGGCACACTCTTAGACTGAACAAAGCGAGGAGGGCACTCCAGAATCCAGATAGTCCTCGCCTTACAACAATTCATTTAGTAAGATTCACTTAACAGCTGGGTTACTAACTGAACAGCGGCAGTGATTCCCTCAAACCAACTGGGCAAAATTCACTGAAGAACTGTCTCATTTAGCAACAGGCTTCCGCTGTGGTGATAAGTCAGGGACTCCTATAAGAAGCTTCTTTCTGCAATCTCTTTTTTTTTTTTTTTTTTGCATTTTAACACCTCTCTCCCTGTGTCCCTCGTAGCCACATCTGGCTAGGGGTCCCTTGTTTTGAAAAGAAGAAATTAAAAAGGAATAAATAAACTTTAGGCCTCCTTGCTTTCCATTGCCAAGAAAGCCCTTTGGGCTGCAGGAGGGCCTGTGCAGGTACAGCCTTAAAGCTCCCCCCCCCTCCCCAATTCCAGAGAATCCGTCTTGACGTCGAGAAATAATTATGGTGAGAAATGGCACCGGCTCATGTCACACGGCCACAAAGAACTTTAATATAAACCTATCTATAGACTCGGTTCGAGATAAACATCTTGTCTTGGTTAAATGAATGAAGCCTTTCCTTCCCCCCCCCCCCGCCCCTCTCCCCACGACCGGTCCGTTTAGTTTTAACTCCACCGAAAGAAAGAACATAATTTCCCACCCCAGCTTTCTGTTTAGGGAGGGGGGGGAAGGGGGGGAAAAAGTGGTTGCAGCACCCACCCACCCACCTTTTTTTTTTTCCAAACGAGCCTATAATCTGTCACCGATTTAATTAGCTATCTCCAGATGAAAGCTGAAGTTTTAATAAAAGTTAGAAGAGATAACACCGCAAAGGACACGGATGAGCTGTCTCAAGGCCGTATTCGGGGAGAAAACGATAAGAGCTATAAAAAATGGCAGCGGAGAGCAATTGAATGAAGCAATGAAAATCGGATTCTCTTTTTTTAAAAAAAAGAGGAGGAGGAGGAGGAGGAGGAGGAGGAGGAGGAGGAGGAGAAGAAAGAGACGGGATGGGGCGGCAGAGATGAAAACCTGCTGAGGTCTGCAAGGCATTTGGCTCCCGGCCAGGCTTCATCGTTCACCCTGGGCTGCTGGCAGCTCCGTCCAGATGTGCCGCCCCGCACGTTGCGGCTTTTGCCAGCTGACTGCGCCGTTTGATAACCGGCTCTCCGGATGCCCATCGCTGGCCGCGGAGATGGAATTAGATGATGATGATCTTCCCACTAGTTGAGAGAGGAAACAATGCATATAAATCTTGATTTCATCTCAGCGTGAGAAGTCTTTATCCATCATCACTCATAATGAACAAGTCGTTAGCCGGGATGAATGGTCTTCTGCTCCTTCCCACCGTCCCCTCCTCAGCCTCTTCCTCCTCCCCATCCAGCCACCCCTTTTGTTCACCTTCCTTCCTTTCTTTCTTTCTTTCTTTCTTTCTTTCTTTCTTTCTTTCTTTCTCTCTTTTCCTTCCTTCCTTCTTTTTCTTTCTTTCCTTCCTTCATTCTCTTTCTTTCTTTCACTTTCCTTCCTTCCTTCCTTTCTTCTTTCTTTCTTTCCTTCCTTCCTTCATTCTTCCTTTTTTTCTTTCCTTCCTTCTCCCTTCTTCCTTCTTCCTTTCTTTCTTTCTTTCTTTCTTTCTTTCTTTCTTCCCTCCCTTTAGCCATTTTCCCAGCCCGTCAAACTTTCTCCTTCTTGCCTAAATCTTCCAGGTGTGCTTTTAACTCAGCCTTTCCCAATCTGGCGCCCTCCAGATGCGGGCTGGGGGGGGGAATAACTCCCATCATCCTCAGCCAGCTCAGCTGGCGGCTGGCTTGTCACGTATATCATCCACTGGAGACTTTCAAGAAGAGACTGGACAGCCCTTCGTCTGGAACGAGGTCGACTCTCCTGCTCGAGCATGGGGTTGGACTAGATGACCTCCAAGGTCCCTTCCAACTCTGTTGTTCTCTGTCCAGCAGGTCCAGATACCAGCAATTCTGCACACTCCTTTTTTTTTTCTTTTTCTTTTTTTTTTTTTGAAGCAAGCAGTCCCACCAACTTTCTCCCTTTCTTCTAAAATCCCCCTTGGGGATTGCTGACCTTCTCCGCCGTTCCTGTTCTTGACTTCCCATATAAAAATGCCATTTTGGGCCTTGTTGCCACCGACCTTTAGCAACCTTCTCAGGCACGGAGGGGAAAAGTGACAGGTCAGGTCCTCGGTGACAAATGGAGCTTTGAGAAACAAGTTCCTTTTTTTTAAAGAAATGAACAAGCGGAGATTTAAGCGCAGCAGAAATGTCGGCGGAGGGTTCAACCAGCAATTCTCTCCACTCTTTTTTCTCCAGCCAGCCTGCGTTCTTTCCACAGAGCCCTTCGGGCCTTCTGAGCTCGGAGGCTTGCTGGCAGACGTTTCATTACCCAACTAGGCAACGTCATCAGTGCTGGGCTTAGTAAGGGAAGGAAACATCTGCACGCAAACCTCCGAGCTCAGAAGCTGCCGAGGGCTCCATAATTCAACCCTGAACTACATATGTTC